AACGGCCATTTTCCCCCCCCATAAACCATATATCAGTGCAAAGCTCTTGTTTTCTAGTTTCCAAAACAGTAATAACATTGTAATTCTGTAGAGGACTAGAAAAGTTATCGCAGTTTAAGTGAGACGACAAATATTTTACCAAAATTAAAATTTTCTCATAACTGTATAGAAAAAATAACCACAGATAAGGTTTGTTCTGTTTTTCAATGCCAAATGTTATTTAAAGATGACCTGCGAAGAAATTTTTTCAAAAAGTTCAAAATTTGTCGATATATAGGGTACTTTTGATATCTGACGACTTGTATGTTTTTTTCATCACTCAAACCACTAGTACTCTTAGAAAATTAAATATTTTTGAATTTTGTTTTTAGTTTATTGTAGCTTAAATTAGTACCTTTCTAATGATGTATAATACTTGATAGTTGATTTTGATCTTGGTCATGAATAGGAGGCTTGTTTGTGAGCGACCCTAAACTAGAAAAAATCTCAAAAACGTCATTTCTAGAAATACCACTTGGAAACAAAATTAAGTATTAAGTTTTGGTTTTTTATGATGATTTATGATAATTATGACTAAAAACACTCAAAAAATTGTATTTTATAAACTTTTGGCTATCTCAGGTAGCTTGTTTAAGTACGATCCTAGTAGTCTTTATTGGGTCAAAAATTCCCAAGTATTACACTATTTCTTGGATGCTTATCGGTTGATATTTCATATTTATACAGATTTTAAGAAAAATAAGTCAGTTTAAAATATTTTTTTTGATAAATTTTGGTTTTTGGCTATTTTGTTAAAGTTCAGCTTGCGTCGGTCACATTCAATTTACTCCAGAAGCAGCTATGATGAACTTTCATACAAGTATTATACATCATTTTAAAGGTATTGATATAAGCTAGAAGTAGCCGAAAACAGAATGCAAAAATTTGTATCCTGAAAAAAGTTAAAGCTCTTTATGTCCATCAAAAAGCCTACAGAAGGGCAAACAGCATAGGTAAAAATACAAAAATTTAAAATTTAATGACTACTATTAGAGCAAATTGTTAGAAAAAGGTTTAATGTATTAAAGAAAATAATAATAAAATAAATTTTGCAAAACTAAGTGTGAAATTTTAAATTTTTGTAAATTTACCTTTGCTAGTTGCGCTTTTGTAGGCTTTTTGATGGACATAAAGAGCTCTAACCTTTTTCAGATTACATATTTTTACATTCTGTTTTCGGTTATTGCTAGTTTACATCAATACCTTTAAAATGATGTATAATACTTGTATGAAAGTTCATCATAGCTGCTTCTGGAGTAAATTGAATGTGACCGACGCAAGCTGAACTTTAACAAAATAGCCAAAAACCAAAATTTATCAAAAAAAATATTTTAAACTGACTTATTTTTCTTAAAATCTGTATAAATATGAAATATCAACCGATAAGCATCCAAGAAATAGTGTAATACTTGGGAATTTTTGACCCAATAAAGACTACTAGGATCGTACTTAAACAAGCTACCTGAGATAGCCAAAAGTTTATAAAATACAATTTTTTGAGTGTTTTTAGTCATAATTATCATAAATCATCATAAAAAACCAAAACTTAATACTTAATTTTGTTTCCAAGTGGTATTTCTAGAAATGACGTTTTTGAGATTTTTTCTAGTTTAGGGTCGCTCACAAACAAGCCTCCTATTCATGACCAAGATCAAAATCAACTATCAAGTATTATACATCATTAGAAAGGTACTGATTTAAGCTACAATAAACTGAAAACAAAATTCAAAAATATTTAATTTTCTAAGAGTACTAGTGGTTTGAGTGATGAAAAAAACATACAAGTCGTCAGATATCAAAAGTACCCTATATATCGACAAATTTTGAACTTTTTGAAAAAATTTCTTCGCAGGTCATCTTTAAATAACATTTGGTATTGAAAAACAGAACAAACCTTATCTGTGGTTATTTTTTCTATACAGTTATGTGAAAATTTTAATTTTGGTAAAATATTTGTCGTCTCACTTAAACTGCGATAACTTTTCTAGTCCTCTACAGAATTACAATGTTATTACTGTTTTGGAAACTAGAAAACAAGAGCTTTGCACTGATATATGGTTTATGGGGGGGAAAATGGCCGTTTAGGACAGTTGCGGCACGTTTAAAGATAATTTTGATAGGATTTTCATATACTTTGTACTATATCGGAACCAAAACTACATATTTCCAAAATTGAGGTTACATCAAAATAAAGCTCTTATATGTAACTATTAGGAACTGAAAATTTTTTTTCAATATCTTTAACCATTGTAGAGAAATTGCAGTTTAAGTAATGCATGAAAAAATTCAAATTTTCGTCATTTTCCAACTTCAAACAGCCACAGAATCGCAAAAACAGCACCAAATGACCTGAAATTTGGAACATAATCCAGTTTTCATGTCCTTTACAAGAAAAAATCACCCGAAGATCGCAACTCGAAAAAGCCAAAAAAAATTTTGAATCATCGATTTTTTTTCATTTTGCCCCATAGTGCTGAGATCAAATCAGGGGAGTTAGAGTTTATTAATCAACACTAAGCACCATGCCACTGTTATTTTTTCGTGATTTGCAAAGAGTTTCTTTCAACCTTGCTTTTCCATTAGAACCATACGATTTTAAGGATATTACATTAAATCTTGAAGTTAAAAGAACGTACGGCCTGTTTCACTAAGGTGGATTATCCACCGATTGGATTATCCACTTTTTCAATCCGAGGATAATCCATAAATTTTTTTACTTCGTTAAACTGCAAGGTGAATCAGAAAAAATGGATTTAAAGAAAATAATTTTTTGACGATGGATTTCACAAAATAAGATTATCCTAGTAAGTGGATTATCCGACGATTATACTGAGATTATCCTAGGATTATCCACATAATTAATTTAAAATGTTTAAACTGGGTCCCACTAAGATTGAAAATTCGGATAATCTAAGGATAATCCATATACTAAAATTATTTTTTCGCGATATTCACTATACAAGAAAAATGATTTTTCTCAAACTAGCTTGATTATTATTTACCAATTAATTCTACATCAGAAAGATAGAAAGAAATTATTTGGATTTTCCTTGTATCGAAGAAATAGATAATCCTAAAATGAGGATAATCCACCTTAGTGAAACAGGCCGTTAATTTTTTGAGTCAATGCCATATTCCTGTAATGTTGCATTTTTACCCTCAATCATGTTCACACAAATTTATTTCTTTTCCATCTTTTGGAGTTCGTTTTCTTTTTCATTCATTTACTTTTTCTATTATTACGCATCATTAGCATCTTTCAAATCACTTTATACATTATTTTTACATTTTATTTAACTTTCCATTTCTTTTTGATTTATATTTCTCTTATTTTGTCACATTTTAAGGAAAATCATTTCTTATTACTACAGCATTTAGTAGACATCATCTCATTTTTCGATCAACATCGATCAACATTCAAATCTTATTTACAAAAGCACTGAAGAGGAAAAAATATTTTTTCCTCACAGTATTTTTATTTATACTTGAACACCATTGATTATAATGTACATGCTGATGATGATGATGGACAAAGTTGTCTCACATTTATTCATTGCACAAATGGTAATGATGTTTTGATACATTTTTTTTCTCTCTATCTGAATGAATAATTTGTCTAGAAGATGGAAATGATGTTGCTTGCTCGAGAAATGTACAAAAGAGGATATATGTAATAGTAAACACATGATGATATGCAAAAGTGACAAATTGATGATTTTATTATATCCATATCTCATTTACTTTTACATCCTTTTGTGTATCTCCTTTTCCGTACGATGAATAAACATAAAATCTGATGATGAATAAAATGATATTGTCTCTTTTCCATTCCTTTTCCAAAAATTCCTATGGAAAATCTAACTGGTATTAATTTTCTGACTTTATTATCCTTGAAAAATCCTACACTCAACTTCATACATAAATTTGAATATGTTTAGAGAGCGTATGGAGTTGTAGTGTGTCTACATGTCTGCATAGATATTTAAATATTCTTGTTATTGCTGTGTGGGTTATGTGAACGGCATCAACATGTTCATTTCAGCCATAAGGTAAGGAATTAAGTTCTCATGATAGAATTAATTCATGGAAATTTTGCCAGATGGACTTTCTGGGGTATAATTAATTATAGTGAAAAAAAAAGGAATAAAGTTTCTCATTTCTTTTATACTATTTTCATAAATTTGTTGGAACATGCAATAAAATAAATATGTTTCCATTTTTTACATAAATAAAGGGTAAATGAGAAGAATAAATATTCGGCGCATTTTTAAGATACTTTATACGTATTTATTTTTCCATCCGATATTATTTTGTGTTTGTTGTATTAACCAGAGAGTAGCCATAAATCTTTTTAAGGAGGTCGACGTAAAATGGCACTTTAAGTTGATTTTCAGTAATTAATTTAATTAACTTCAGTTAATTTCTTATTAGGATTAGTTTGATCAACCTTAAATTCTTCTTTTTTTTTGGGATCAGACTTGATTCATTATCTACTACATATATTTGAAGATTTAATTTAATTGCACATTTTGTGGTTCCAAAAATTGATTGCCAACAATAAATTTAACAAATATTGATATTAGAAATTGTGGAGTAAATAAAATCATTTGTAAGGATTGAGGATTGGATCTAAATTAATATTGGGGATAATAACCTAAAGACTTTTATCATTAGTCATGCTAGGGGGTCAGATATTTGTAATTGTAACTTGGTCATTCGAATTCGTTGCATTTTCAGTTATTATACAGGATTACAAATAATTCAATAAGCGCAGATGTGTGATTTTTATTTCCTCTTAATGTTCCAAACACACATACATAAAAATTATAAATTACTGTTGATCTGAAAATGTGGTGAGTGGATAAAATGGATTTTATGATAAAAATTTATTTTGCATTATAAAAGTGAATTATAAATAGTAATTAAATACATTTCATTCATGAATATTGTGTATAGTTCAATTACATCAAACCATAAATGAGAACAATAATTTTATTGGTAAAAAATTTATCACACAGAAGAATCCAATCAAGCCATTGACAAATAAATTAAAATCCATATTTTAGTTTTATTGCAAATTTATTAATGAATCCCGACATATTGCATGGTCGTTTCAAATGCATCTAAATTGGATTTTATTATTTTTTTATCACTCATCATGCATACAACATCCAACAATGTTCAATTTTTTTTTCTCATTGGAGAACAACGGACGCAGTGGATGAATTGAGTGAAGTGATATTAATAGAATTTCAATACATTTTAGGACTTGATGATTTTTCCTGTTTTTCCTACGTTCTTCATCATCATCATCCTGTATGCCATGAGATCTCACATGAATCGTCTGTATTTTAATTTTACTATAACTTTGTTTATTTCCTCTTGAGTTTTGTACACATTTGTGGATAAAAAGCTACATGAAATGGAAATAATGATTGAACTTCCTTTATGAACTTTTCATTTTCTTTTGTGTGAATTTTTTCCTACTCTCCATCTTCTTTCCTCACTCATATTTTTTACATCATCATTCAACAAACAATTTTCCTTCTCTCTTCTTTTTTTCATATAAATGCACACAAACAGGAAAAGAATTTTTTTTCAGTTTTTTTTTGCTGTTGCTGCTACCATACCACTGTCGACGCTTGGTTGCTAAAAATAAATTGAAATTTATGATTGGATTGTGTACTGAAGCTTCCTTCGTGCATATAGAACAAAAATCTAATTGTTAGTGATGAAGCAGACATATATAATGCATACAGAACGAAAGAAAGTGTTGGATTTTATGAAAAACGAAAAGATTAAATTAAATAGATTAATTTAGATAATTGAATTTCATTTTTATTCAGGCATGCTCGAAAGTGTTGACATGAGAGATAGAGATGGAGAGAAAATCACAGAGAATTATGTTCATATTCAATTACATTTACTTACTTATTTAATGCTCAACTAACAACAAATTCATTTCAATTAGTTTTATGTTGTTTCTAGATGTTACATTTTGTAGATGGATTCATTAGACTATCTCTCTTACACTTGAAATCATTTGCAAAATCCCTCGAATTACTTAAGGCGCCTGAGAAAGAAGATAAAAAGAATCAAATATGAATAGGGCATCCGATGATGTTGAATTATATAAATATATTGAATGATTTCTAAAAATCTATCCTAAAACCACTGCTAGGATGTGCTTAATTCATTATCTATCAGATTTAAGGTTATTAATAATTGTGACAAAGTATGATTTACTAAAAGGTTTATAAACCCAAAAGAGTGAATCATTCAAGGACCCACCCTCCTATGCGCCAAAAGAAAGCAATAGAGCAAGGATATCAGACATAACATTTCGGAAACAATGAATATAAAAAAAGAGAGAAAGTATCAATAACGATTATTTCACATAAAACTAACCAATAACTCGAAATTGCTCGAACGAATTTGAATTGATTTCATTCAAGTTTTTTATCTTCTCTGGTCGACTAATGGAACAAAATAATTGTGCGAATGAGATCCAAAAAAATTGTTCATTGCTGAATTTCAGTGCTGGCAAACTCTTCTCTCTTCCGTTTTCCAATATCCATTTCTTATATGCAGTGTAAACAGCTTTCAAGCTTCCGTTATCTGCAATATTGCCTTGTAGAGTGTTTCGCCCATTATTTTTTATGCCAGTCTCTAGATCTTTGTAGCTGTCGTATTGTCGAATAAGACAGTCGATTTGAGAACTCACATTTGACGGTAAATGTGATTGTTGAAAAATCTGTAACGACATATACATATTTTTTCAACTTATTCAGCATAAAATAAATGGAAAAAGTTTCTTACTTCCGGAATCTCGTATGTATGAGAGCAGTTTGAAATAAAAAAAAAATATTCAAGACAGAAAAGAGTTGCATAGAGAATGAATAATAGCATGATAGTGCTCATATGTTGCAAATTTAAGCGCATTCTATAAATGTTTGCTATATGGGAGCTACGCTTATTTTGTGTCGTAGACAATATTTTTAATCTTGGTGTTTTCATGAATAAATAACAGAATGTTGAGAAGATGCTTAACAGCCATAAATTGAATTATTTATGATGAAAAAATAGAAGAAATTCTTGAAATAAAAATCTGTTGTTTTCAGCGAGTCAGACATAAAATAGACAACAGCGTAAATTTTACAAAATAATTGAAATGGTGAGATTTTTTATGGCAAACAGCATCGAGTGTCATGTTGTCTATGTCTTTGAAAAACCGCACACAAAAGGAAATGAGAATTTAAAGTAAAAGTTTTTTTACCTCAAAATTTTGTGCAAAAATATAACCGATGAGAAAACCACTGGTTGGGAAGTTAAGATAAAGTGGACTTTCGGGTGATAAAACTTCTTTCTGCAAAATTCCCGCAGGAAATACTGGAATAGAAAAAAAAAGCTCAAAGTATTTTCATTCAGGAAATAAATTGAAATAAATTGTTACTAATACTTTTTTACTTACAGATTTTGTTAAAGCTGCTTGTATCAGCATAATTTAATACACCTGCACTCTCTGAATAATCGCTGCTAAGTCCAGATTGCAAAATAAGAAATCTTCTTTCCGTATTAAAAACTGTCAATTTAAGAATGGATTCAAAATATTTTTCAAGCTTATTTGAAACCGTTCTATAGAAGAAATTCACTTGTGAGTCACTGAGCAGTTCTTTAGGAAATCTCAACTTTAAAATTATTTCATTCATTTTAGTAAATATTTTTAATCGCTCTCCTATATCCATCCATGAATACTCGTTGTTAAGTTTCCTATCAAATTCACTTTTAACTCTCATCGCTATATCGATTGCAGTCTGTTTTGATTCAAGATTGAAGTACTCCTGTGAAAACAATGATTCAGCAGCCAACTGCATGCTATTAGAGACGATATCAACGCATTGTTTCCATAATTCCTCTTTCTGTTTTACACCCAGCAATTCCATACGGTAGACAAGTGATCGCTTTTTCAACTCACTTGTCATGTAACGTGAGGAAAATACTAAAATCCTTAAAACAAAATAGTTGGCGAGAGTACGCTTTGAAGTTTTTGTCATAAGCTCCTCAAAGGCTGCGAAAAAAGCTCTCGCATTTAATTTTTTCTCGTTTCCCTTTATTTTTGCCAACAGCGGTAAGGGTTGAAATATATCTAGCCATTGTGTAACTGCATAGTTGATATAGTTTTCATTTTGGAATAACGCGAAAGAATTATCTAATGGGCTGCTCTCGTACCGAGAATTCAATAAAATTAAATCTCTTTGAAATTCAACTGCATCATCAATGTCTCGTGAAATTTTATTTGGATTGGCTCCAACAATGGTCGCTGTATCAATTAAATAACTTTTGTAGGCTTTGAAGATTATTTCCGTTTTCGATGTGTCATTGTTGATTACTTCATTCAATTCATTTGTTAGCTTATCCTGTGATTTTATTATACCCAACCAAGGAATTTGAATAAATTTTCTTAATTGGAAAATTTGCCTAAAATTATTTTGGCCTACATATTCGCGTAGTTTCATAATAGAATCTTCTAAATCCCATGCCTTTTCATCCCAATCTCCATCCAACATTGGCCATCCGCCGACCGCATCAATTAATTTTCTGAACGGTTCTACACCCCTTTTATCAGCATCATCGACATCCATACAGGAAGTAAATAACCGTTTTACCATTTTATATGGCTCAATTTCATCATCAACAATTTTTCGCGTGAATAGACGCCTCAATTGATCCTTCAGTTTGTCATCTGTCATTGTGAATACATTCAATGAATCTCGTCTGTCGTGAAGTGTTGAATCACGAATGAAGCTACCGCATGCAAAATTATAGAAATTCTCACATGGATCTACTTTCCAATCAATTAAATAATCCATTTTTGAAGCACTTATTACACATTGTGGTGATCGGCAGAAGTCATTTTTCAAAGTACTCCTGTCATCAACAACCTCTTGATAATCATCGTCATCAAGAACAGTCAATTGTTGTTGGTCTTGTTCTTCATGCTCTTCCTGAAAATATTGATTTAATGAAATTGTGGTCATATGATTTTCACTCTCAAGCATAATTGTTTTAAATGTAGTAGTATTTTGAACCTCATAAGTCATCATTTGAAAGTTATTTGATGGATGATTTCTGGTTGAAAGCACTTGTTGAATTCCATCATTTAAGTTCTCAATATTTGGTAATGACGAGAGAAGCCATGATGATATATTTTGGAGAGATGCTGAAGGTGATGGGAGTTGTGGTATCAGTGGTATAGGAGGAAGTGGAAAACTTCGTGTTTGTGGTAGCAATGGAACATCAGAAGCTGCAAGGAACATATTACTTATTATTATTATTATTTTCATCATCAAACTTTAATTATGACTAATGGTACAAATAAATCAGGTACTTTATATAATTTGTTGACATAGCAAAAGCGTGTCATTCTAAGAACTTGTTATTGTGTTTGATTACTTCATTTGTTGTGTACAAATACTTAGTGAACGTGCTCATTCATTTCAAATATTTTTAGAATCGATTTTTAGATAAAATACTGATTCTAATGAATGATTAATTCATAGATTGCCATTAGTGTCTCTTTTGAGGATTAAATAATTTAATTCATGGTGTACATATTGCTGGCTTATATGCATAAAAAATTAAAATTTTTGCAACTTTGCTGAAAACATTTGTGTGACTATAGTCGACTACTTAATATGTAAATTATTCCTTTTGTATGTAGTCGTTCACTTATTACGGCACACAAAATAATAGCTTTGCATTTTACGTAAAAAAAAAAAAATTTCCTTAAGCAAAAAGCTTACATATTTAAAATCTTAGAGCCTTAAACGCAAACGTAATAAATGAATGATCCCGTGTAAAGAAATGTCAACATGACAAAACATCAAAATTAATAACAAACACATCTTCAAGTTTCCTTTAAATTAAAGCAAATCATCAATTTACCTAATTGCGGTGCGTACTTCAAGGTTGCAACTAAAAATAATAACAATAACAAAATAATTTTCAGCATGATTTGTAAAATTAATGTTATTTCACTTCGTTGGCTGGAGATTAACTGAGCTTAACATTTTGTAAATCGCAAAACAACTTATTTATGTTTCTCTCATCCATTCCTTTATGTTTGGTCTTTCTTAGGTGCTACTTATTCAGCTGTTTTTTTTTCTCTCATCTGTATTCTTTTTATGTATTTGATTGGTTAGAGTTGAATAGAAATGCTTTAAAAAAAAGAGAAAAGTGAAGATGAAATAAAAAGAGTAAGGATTTAAAACCTGGTTACTGTTGCATTGATGAGGAAAGGCTAAATTTTATTTTATTAAAATTACATCTAATTGGGCACTTTAAGGAAGCTTGTAGAAAATTCTGTAATCTGATTAACTTATCAAGTTCAATATATTAATAGAATTTTAATTGCAAGAAACTGATAATAAGCTTCAACTACGAAAGGCTAAGCTATTTAAAGCCATTCTATTGAGTTTTTTATGGCATTATGCCTATATATGTATAATGCTCATACAAAATTTCACTGTATTTGGATAAACCCCCGAAGAAAAAAGTGAAAAAATTGATTTTGACTAGGGTCGCCCCTAGTCTAAAATTGAAAATTGATTTTCTATGGTGTACTTTGGTCAAAAAATTTTTTTGGATGTTTTATTTGAATTGACATAATTCTGACATAAATCACATACCAATATTAGTTTTTGCAATACATAGCTTAAAAAAAATCGAAAGCTAAAATTTCGACTACCCCACCTGAATTTTGTTCATACTCTTCACTGTGGAAACGAAAAAAAAATTTTCTTTATCTTAAAACTTTTGACAAAATAGCGACATAATTCAGGATTAATTACTTTTTAATAATATTTTAACATTTACGAGATAATGTGGTTCAAACAAGTGTGAAGTAGGGCCGAGATTTGGACCAAAATCAGCTATACTAGTTCATAGTGTTCCCGAGGGTGACAAAATTCAAACTAAGTGCTTTTGTAACTGACATAATTATGACATAAATTAGGTATAACTTTTGAACTGTATCGATATGGGTCTCGGCCGTACTTCACGCCCACAAATTGTAATTAAATACAAAACATAATCAAAGTTTGAATTAAAGTCACAATGATTCAGCAAAAAATTCAATCTGTCATAGTTCATTCAAGCAAAACAAAGCACTTGAAGAATTTTCACAAGAAAAAGACAAAGCATTCTTGAAGTACATTACGCTTCAAAATTAACTCTGTGATGTTTTTTATTCCTTCATGTCACCCATTACTGAAATAAACCATGAGTACAAATTAGTTGCCATTTCAGTGCGTCAAGTCACAGAAAAACATTTTTCCTCATCGTGTATGATTTAAAAAATTTATTTCATTCCTTTCTTTCATTTTCGCTTGCTCGCACATGAACTTTTTGCTGATGATTCTAATTTTTCAACCCTCTTCAAGTTCTTCTCGTTTTTTTTGATGCTGCTGGAAAATGAAAAAAAAAAAAAAAATTTGCGTAAAAGTAGTAAAATTTAATTATATATAAATTTTTTCCTCCTTGCCAGTTGATATTTTAACGTAAATAGCTTTGTAACGAAGGAATGAAAGAAGGCAAGACTGAATTTACACTCAGCTTTTCTTCACGAATAAGTGAGCTCTATAAAAATCATAAAAATATTCTGCGATTATGCTTTTTACTCATCAAGAATAAAAATTGTGACTTCCTACATTTTTTTGCTCCTATGGAATGGAATGTGCGTAAAAAGAAAAGAGCAGCAGTGTCAAAAAGGGGTTGATATTGTCACATCGCATAATGCCTCATTGAATTCCATCACCATCGTAATCATCTTTACTGTTGCCTTGAATGCTATAAACTAAAGCGTTTTGGGAGTCAAGAGCACAAAAAAAAAGACAAAAGAAAGATAATGCTGTGATGATGGAAGTAGCGACGCTTTATATAAGTATTATAAAAGAAACTTATCTTTCTGTTAATCTCAAGATATGAATAAACATGTAAATGTTAAAAGAAAAGAAGCTTTATATCTCCTATCTATGTTGTCATGTATGAGATTTATGTTTTATATTTCAGCTCTGCCACACACTTCCTCATTCATTCATTCATTCTCGCCTCAAATTACTGGCATTATTCTATCCATTTTTTGTGTAGGCTATGCAACAGAAATGAAAACAAGTATGGTATTTTCCTGTAAGCAGATTTTCATATCCGATGTTCGTCTATTTATTCAGCGAATTTGCAAATATTTGCCGTTGCATATTAGACACTAATGCCTTATTTATTCATTGAAAATGTATTGACAATAAACAATATTGTTTTAAGCAAACCCTATCTTCTATTCTACTGTGATGCTTTACATAGACAATAAATTAGCAAGCACGAAGGTAGTCAACTGGCTTTAAAAAGTATTTGTAAAGAGCCTTACATACATTACTGCCATTTTTACAGTAGCAAATATTTTTTTCTTGTTAGTAAAGAATTAATTAATGGAATAAAAAAACAAAAGCTTAACCGAATGAACCAAAATCGTACGGAATCGTACTAATATCATTTTTTGTTGTTAAAGCAGTTTCGTAGAATTGATGTTAAATACTATGTGCTTTTATGTATATGCAGTTAAGTGCCTTGCTGGTCGAATAGGTAAGGCGCTTGGCTCAAATTTGGTATGGTAACTCGAAGGTCGTCGGTTCGAATTCAGCCATTTCCAAATTTGTTCTTTTTCGGAAGTTTAGATACTTCGACTGCTTAATATACGAGATCAAGCCATAATTGGGCATTTTGGGCAACGTTAGATTAAGGAACGGATCAGGAACTTGAAGTGTAGCGGGAGAAATAGGAACGAGAGCTACAAGATTACCTTATAATGGAATATTGTCAGAACGGACCTGAAATGCATCACGTCACGCCCACAGAAGATTGAAACGAGAGCCTGAATTTAATTGAAACCTAGATTTGAAGATTAGAAGCTTGATTCTACGTCACCCATAGTGATATGAAATCTATCACTAATCAATGTAAAAAGTAAAACATGTATAAATACTAATTCTTCCGGACGGTATCGTCGACAAATAAATAATAATAATAATAATATGTTCCAAAAACAAACATTTAGATGCTTTTAAAGTATTAAAATAAAAAGAACATGATTATAAATAATAACGTACAGGTACAGCAAAATCAGAAATCTAATTAGACTTACAGCTGGAATTAAATGCATGTGATGTGTAATACCAATGTCGCAATCAAAAAAGGACTTACTATTTGGAATCCTTAAAAAAGAAACCAAAGCTCTTCTCTAAATAAATTTAAGACAAAATGATCATGATTAGCTCTTTTAACCATCAAATCAGCAAACAACGTTAAGAAAATAAGAATAAAATATAAAATAAAAAGAAAAATGCTTTTTTGTAAGAATACTTTAGATATGTCAGTGACAACAGATAATCAAAAAATTGTCACTAGTGAAAAAAAAAACATGAAATCAACAATGGAAGAAAAAAGACTCACTCATCCTTCAATTTCACTATTACAGAATGTAACGGAAAAAGCACTCACAGTCTCATAGGCTTAGCACAACAAGATAAAGTAAAATAATACAAAATGTTTTGTAGTCTGTGGGAAATGAGCAATTTAAACTAAATACATCCCGCATCCATTCAAATTACATCTTTAACCAAGAGCTACATGTGCATCATTATGAAATGACGGGACGTAATAGATGAATGAATAGAGGAACAATAGGAAAAGGATAACTGACAGAACTTTTGGAAATTTCCATTTTTCAATTTATTTTCATGACGCATTAAAAAAATTGCGGAGGAAGTCGAAGGCAGTAGCGCAAAAATGATTCCATCCTATTGCTTGCACACCAGAATGATTTTGCAGGAATGAAAATTTTTCCTCATTTTTCGGTGAAATGTGAATAAAACAATGGTTTAGATATTATGTGGATGGAGTTGTTAGATGAACCAACTATACATGCATTATTTTATGTCTACACATTTCCGAGATTGAATTTTTTTCCTTCTTTCTCATCCATCGTTGAGCTTTTTCTCGTCGCTATATGATTTTGGTACTGTTTCCATTTTTTGTAATAATACATAAATCAACATTTGATAGCATTCCATGTCTACAGCATGAATACGTATGCTTGAACTGTTTTTCACATTAAAAACGGGAAGCATTGTTCATAAATGTTTTTAAAATTATATGGAATTTTCCAGGAAAACCTTTTATTTTCTCTACGTAGCGATTATAAGATTAATATTTCTATGAATCATAGTAAATGAAATTCTTATTGATAATGAATTGAAGCATTATAGTAGGTTGCTATAAGATCCTTATTTTTAAAGTTGAAAATTGATTGGCTGAGCAATTTCGAGTGGATTTTTATGTCAAAGTTAAAAATATTTATGATGGAAAACTTTATATTATTTTATTATTTTGTCAAAGACACGATAAGAAACTTTTACTTGAACTTAGTCCATATCTATTTAGTTTGCAGCTAAAATGATTATATCAACAGCACAATTTTTAAACCAATTTAAGGTTCTCTGGTGTCCAGAATCAGATTGTTATTAATTTAGAATTTTTTCTATATATATATATAAGATCAATAGTAGTGCCAATCATCCATTAAATCACAAAAAATTTATTAGGAAATCGTATGTCACTCAAAAAACAAATAAATGATTTATCTAATATCAATCTATCCTTAAATTGTCATAGAGATTTATAAAGGAGGGTAGCAGAAGTTCAAATATTTCATTCTTCTTTCATATGTTGAATATGTCTGAAAAAAATCTAAAAATAAAAAGACATGATAACAAGAAGGAAAAAAAATAATGATGATGATAAGATGTATGGAATTTATTTTCATTTCTTTTTTTTTCATGCATTTTTGCCCCTATTCAACAAACTTTTGCTCTTTCTATTGTGGAACATAAAGACTATGACATCACCCCATTTACATTTCCAAAATAAAAACGAAAAGCAACAGGATCAATTTGATACAAATACATAATGTTTTTTTTTTCAGTTA